ATGGTTTGTTTGTTCCAGCTCAAGACCACAACTTTGTGTCTGACTAAATGTTGGTTCATACTGAACTGAAAATTCCAAAGGTCCAGACCAAACAAAGAGGGTGTGAAAGCTCCCTACGATATCATGGTGGTACTTTTTTCAGACGAAATAATTAAACAATCAAGGAAAGAACAATCGGTTGCAGCGCAAAAGCAGTAGTTTAAACTGTGACTGTACACCAGGTCCATTCCGGTTGAAAGGTCAAACAACACACCAAACAGTGACATCTTAGTGTAGTGTAAACTGTCGCGTTTTATTCCCAAAACTTTGAAGTAGTTTGGCTTGTGGTCCACCGGTGGGCGCTCTTGAAATGGACTTGACGTATAGCATGTCCTGTTGACCTACGAGGAAACTGAGCGAATAAGAACAAGGCTATGCTAATTGTGTAATGGGAGAATCAGGGTCTGCAAGTGGGTTCTATGTCACAGATTAAATAGAAATTGCATCACAATCTCAAGCCAAATACTGCAGTTTTATGGACATTACACTGGCCACACATGTTTGAGTGATAGTACACTATCTCTCACAGTCATGTTTGTATCCTTTCAAACAAATTACATGTTTGTTTGATTTGGGTTGAAAAAGTTCTTGATGTGCTGCCAACATTTTTATTTTCACCTTCAGCGTACTACAGTGATTCAGTATTACACTTCCCCTAAGTGTGGGAATGCTTTGAAAGGCTGGTTTCACAAAAAGAAACTGTCAAAATAAAGCAGCAGAGACAAGATAACCTGACTTTTGGAGCATAGTACTGCCATACAAGCCATTTGCCAGTCAGATTTACCTCTAGCCTCAGTGTATTTGGCTTGTATCGCTGATTTCAAGGCCAAAACTGAGGATACACACAACTGAAGTTATGTCCATAAGATCCGTTTTGATGTCGCTAAAACCTGCGAACATCTACTAGTAGTTGGTAACTTAATTTGTGCAGAAAACCGTCAGACATACAAGAGATATTCAACATCCTGTCCTATGTTCTAATAAACCATGCCAGCACTCTGAATAATGCAAACTGGGTCCATAACTGATTGGCAAACAACACATACATGTGAATATAATCACTGAGTTAATAGTTAATTGTGCATAGCCTACATAGCTAAAACTGGTGTGGTTTAATTCTATAACCCTGTGCATAAAATATTACAAACACATTTTGTAGCAGCATGACAGCAGCATGATAAATATAAATATTCAATGTGGTTGGTTGTAGCTGGGTGTTCAGAAAGTGGCAACTTTAAATTTAAACATTGTTTTTACTGATTTGGTCGCTGTCACTGACATTTCAAGGTTAAGATCTACAAAAGTAGTTTTCAAGGTGAAATAGAGACACAGCAGTTAACTGATCTTTTTTTTGTCAGTGGTGTCATTTTGTCAATCGCAAGCTAAACTGTTCAAAGGTCTATGGTATGTTTCCTACTGACAGACACTGACACCTTGACTCTTATAGGCTTCTCTCTTGGCATGTGTATTGTTAAGGACGTGCAGTGTTGAATTTGGTGAGATTTGAAACAGGTGACCGAGCGCTCAGCGGCAGCTGAGACTCATCATATAAGTGGTGTTGTTGATCACGCCAACACGCCTTCACAGCCACAGAAACAACCACTGATTATCCAGCTCCGATTCTGTGTACTGAGAAGTACAAGAATCTGTGAACTTTGAATAAACAGGTGAACAGCTCTTTGTCACTTTTAAAGATGCAGAGAGAAAGCTGCTACCAGCATCACCACAGGCCAAACAAACAGCCCATTCCAAACAGGCAGGTTTCAAATGGGCACTGCTAAAGATCCTAAAACTCAAACCTCCATATCCATATTTAAGATTTAAAGGTACAGTGTGTAGAATTTTGTGATATCTAGTGTTGAAGTTGCATGTTGCAGCTGAGCACTCCTCACCTCACCCTCTCCTTCCAAACATTAAAAAGAACCTGTGGTAGCCTTTAATTGTCATAAAAACTCAAAAGGTGTTTAGTTTGTCCAGTCTGGACTAATGTAAAAAACATGGCGGCCTCCGTAGAGAGGGTCCACTCGATGTAAATATAATGTATTTAAATATAAAGGGCCTTTTCTGGAGTAAAGAAAACTACAAATCATATAATTAAGATGAAACAAACTAGTGAAAACATCATGAGGATTATTCTACATTCAATTTCTGCCAATAGTTCCCTTTCACCTAAATCTTACACGCTGGACCTTTGAAACAGACCAATTCGACACTATTGACACTAACTCTCCATCCATCTATGTTCTGTGATCATTTATTGCCTAACATGAGCTTGAGCCAAGGTTGTGCAATATGACCACATCTCATATCTTAGTAGAGGTCATTTCATATCCACATTACAGCTGTTACCTCCTTCCATCTTCATGATTCTTTGCCATATGGCGTGCCACAGGCAAAAGCCTCTTGCAGCGTCTGAGTTTGAACCATTATTCTTTCATTACACAATATTGTCATATCGCACAGCCTTGGCCAGAGCTCAAACATAGTGTTTGCATGTGTAAGCATTGTGTGTGTGTTGCATTTTGTAAGACAACAAAGATGAGCTGTATGACTTTAGAAGATCTTTCCTTTTTTGATGTCATCATTTTCAAAGAACGATTATTTTCTGAAGATAGTGGCTTCCTCATTTTGGAAGAAAAATCACAGGCTCTGATCTCCAAATCATTAAGGTCATTATCAGGCTTTTATGTTAAAGGGACATGAAACAACAACAGAAGCTCGGTTTCTTGCATCAGCTGGCTGATTATAAGGTCAGACGAAACATAATTCAGTCCAAAGTCTTTGTTCTTCTGTTCATGATATATGTTTAAAAGGCTTTACAAGAATAGAGTAAAATATTTCATTATTCATTAAGTAAAGCTCTAAACAAAAACGACAAAATTTATGACTGTATTAAATACCTTCACATTAATAAAACTGTGATATATATATATTATGATATTATTTTCTGCCATTATAATATCAATGATATTTTGGAAGTACAGGAGCTTTTGAATTACAATGATTAGTTGACTCGTTGATTTATCAAAAATCCTTTTTTTCACCCCCTTAAAGGTGAGAATGTTCCTGCTTTTCTGTGTCAAATATCAAAAATTACAATTACTTTTTCAGAAATGGACTTAATTGGACAAAACTATTTGAATAATAATTTGAATATAAATTAAAAAACCTTGAATATTGAGAAGTTGTGATGGACATTTTGATTTCTGACACATGAAATATGAAAATGATCAGATGGATAAAGTGCATTGTTTAACAGTGCAGTGCATAAACAATGTTGCAGCTTTTACCAGAAAAGACAGATTTCGTACAATATTAACATCTCAGACAGTCCTACATCATTGTTGGTATTACACTAGTGGATGATGGGTAAAGAAAAATCTTGAACAAATGACTGGAGATGCCTCCATTGTATTGTTTGATATTTAAAGCGGCAACTAATAAATCATTTTCTTAACCACTAATGGACCACTTTAACATCATTGCCATTGCTGTTCCTTGTTCATACATTTTCTGCAACTAGGCAACCAACTGCAGAGGAGATTATCTACTGTTTGTTTAGACTGGCACATGCATGAGCAGTGTACATGAATGGTCATATGATATGCGTTTTCTGATGTTAGGATCGACAGAGTTTAATGTGATAAAGAGCTAAACCACTCATCTGGGAGGAAATCAGAATTGTATAAGTGGGCGTCTATTAATAAGCTCTAGAACCGTTACTATGAAAGAGTGAACCCTCGATTTCCATCGACATTTTAAAAAGGCACACCGCTGAATTTCATTTTCATTTTGAAACATGACTTTAACAACTAATCAATAATGACACATAATCGGTAATCAGTCAACTCATAATGCAAATAATATCGCTCTCCACCACCATCATCAAAACACAGAATGAGGGAATATCTTTCGGAGGAATAGCGGCCACCCCTCCACAGAGCTGGAGAATATATGTTACAGGCTAAAACAGTTCATCAAATAATCAAGCCAATTAACAGCAATTGAATCTTCAAAACAATTGCTAATAAATTCCCTTGTTTCAGTTTCACTTATCTGCTTTTCTTTGTCTTTTGTGATCATATCATCAATATGTACATCCATACGTTTTTCTCTTTATTGTGATGTTTTGTTGACCTCATAATGTATCAGTATTGAAAGATAATCAGCTGATCAGTGAATAATAATACACATTTTATTTGCAGGAGGCTGAATAATGTGCACGGAAAATGAGAAATGTGTGAGTTGATGGAAGATAGAAAAGGGAAAATATAGCTATTTCCTTTACAATTAAATATATAGAAGCATTAAATCCTCACAATGGAGAAGCTGATTGGTGTCTTCCATTGAAATCGCTAATCAATCAACAAACGTGACAACTTGTCTGTGGATAGAGTAACTGATGGTCACAAACCTGCGCCTGCTTGAAAATAGATGCTGCTGTTGTAAAACTGAACCACACAGACTGTTCGCGCACATTTCATCCAGTCTCTGCACACAATCCTCAGAAAGAAGCATGAATGTATGAAATAGAGAAACAAAGTCTGACTCAGAGAGGAAAGTGATTATTTCCAGTCATAATAAAACATACATTCCCACAGCTCTCTTGTGTCAGAGCTGGGAGACTTGGCAACTCTGACCTCCGTCAGGAAGATCACCCAGAGCCACAGTGCTGCCAACAGACGCACAAAACCCAGCTGCACTTCCCTGTGCGTCTCCATCTCAGTCCCGAAATCCTCATCATGCATCCACACATACACAGATGAGAGTGAACCCTACGAATGATGCATCCAATGACACCAATAAAAGCATTCATCTGGTGCGTAACCATCCGTCCATCCATCCGTGCATCCATAGTGACCAACAGTTGCTCCGTCAATCAGCACGATAATGTGGATACTTGCTCAACACCTCATTGGTGTGCCCAGCACTGAAGTAAAGCAGCAGCACTTTCTACTCACCTACAAGACACCGTGAGTTCAACTTTGGTGGCAGGTATGGCAGCGGTGAACGGGTCCGCGTCCCCAATGCACGCCATGTTCACCAGCGAGCTGCCGACCGGTCGATCACAAAGCGCCCCGTATCCAGCGCCCCGACGGCGGCATGAGAGGAGCCGACAGCAGCGGAAAAGGTGGATGAATGAACGGGAAGCCTCGCGTGGAGAGGAAGAGGGAGACGAGCGCGACGAGCCTCCTGACGTGTGAGAGAGAGAGAGACAGAGAGAGAGAGAGAGACACACAGAGAGAGAGAGAGAACCGATCACGCGGAGCTGCAGGGCGTCGGAGTCGCGCGCTCCTCTCTGTGCGCATCAGTGCTCCTGAGGAGAGAGAGAGAGCAACACACACACGCACACACACACACAAACACACACACACACACACTCTCTCTCTCTCTCTCTCTCTTTCTAATACACACAGCATATAAATCTACCTTTAAGGAGAAAGTGGCAAAGTAGTGTGTCTGTATCCGTGAGGCAACTTATTTGTACATGCTGTATTTAGTGTACTCTGTTCTCATCTTTATTCGATCTCATTTATCTCATTACTTTTACCATTATTACTATTATTGTTATCATTCATATGACTATGATCATCATCGGGCAGGTTTTATTTTGCACATCAAGTTTTAATTATGTATGCTGTTTTATCTCTGACTGGTTCCTTGTATTTTACGTGCACGTAACTTCTAACACACTTCATTGTATGACCTGCTATACAAATCATGTTATCATCATCATCATCATCATCATATTGTTATTTAAAGCACTGTCATTATTGATAAGACTGGGACCTGGTTTAGTTCAGTTGTTGATTGGTTGATTTTGTCTTTGGAAATAACATTTTAATTATTATCATTACTACTTTTATGTTACCTTCATAATGACATTGTTCATTCATTTAATTATTTTACAGGAACAATGAACAAATGTATTAATCATATTAAGATAGCGCCTTATTTAATGTGACCCCTGTGTTTACGGCAAAATGGCTGCAGTGAAGAAGATGCGTTGCACCAGAGTTAGCTATAGCAGCTAATTTGCGAGCATAGTCTAGTGTCCTAGCCTGTACTAAAATGTAGTGTTGTGTTGTGTTGTATTTCATGTTGAGGTGCACAATAATACGTGCAAATCAAATTAATAAAGAAGAAACAGCAGTTCAACCCAAGATATTAGCCGCTCTAATCAAATATAGTTGTTGCAAAAGGCTAGCTAGATTAGCTAAGCTACTAACTATTTGCAGGAGATATGCGGATCAGTCTGGATGAAAAACATTATATCTGCTACACCATAGATTCAAAAAAGAAAGATTTTAACACATTTCCAGAGCTGAAGTCAGTTTCCTAAACAGGTAGCCGGTTGGCGGCCATGTTGTTTCTTATTCAGGTATGGAGGTACACCTTGGAAAGTTGGAAAATATATTTTTTAGATTCTAGATTGTGTTTTATAAAATCAGTATGTTTACTTTTAATATTGCAGATCAGTTTTCATTAATATGTAGGCCTACTCAAAACAAAACATGACATGGACATATAGATCTATAGGAACAGTGAACATTAGCATTTTGACATGCTAATATTATATAATATAATATATATAAATATATATAAACATCTAAAGTAACATCTAAAATCTAACATGTTTAATCTGTTTAATCTCAGGAAACAACCAAAACATTTCAACATACGACGTCAAGATAAGTATAAATGAAACAGTAACATTATTAATCTATTGTTAGAATTCAAAAGATTGAGATGAAGGGGTCACGAAGGTTTTTACAATTCATGGTTCATAACATGATCATCAAAAACAAATTACCCTGCAAAATTATCCAATAGGCTGAATTGTCAAGACAATAAAGCACCTTTTGTGAGCAGGGGATAACATGGGATCCATTCAAGGTTTAACATTTCATTTTGGGTGAAGAAGTTTTCTGGTTTAACATCAGGGTTAGGTTTAGACTAAGACTCCTAGGTGTGATATATGTGGTTAAGGTTGTGGTAGACCTCCAGGAAACAAGGGAAATCCATGCAAAGACTTTGCAAGTGTAAAAGCCAGCGTGTGTGCAGGTTCGTCACCAGTGAAGGAAAAGGGCTTTCAAGGGGCCCTGCAGAAGTGGACGAGCGTCAGTCAGATGACCAGAACGTGTATTTCAAGCTCCAGAGTGCAGACTTTAACAAAACAGTCACAATAGAACTGCGGGTGGTTGAAAAGGTTGTTGGATCAATAAACTCATTGATTACTTGGCTGGGAGCTGAGATTCATGCATTTTTAAAACTCACATTTGGGACTTTTTTTTTAACAGCAGCAACTTTACTTCTACCCTTCCCATGAAAATGAGATAGTTATTTTGGTCTGGTTCTGGAGGCACTATAAGAAGACCCAGTGTTGTTACAATGAAATTATTTATTTTCTCAGCAGCCTTTTGATGATAACTGTTGAAAATAAGCTTTTTTTGTTCTATGATTACTGTATTCACTAATGTTATGAGCTTTTCTGATCAGATTACTGAGTTTTTCAAATGCTAATTTCTACCACACATATTTTCTCTGTTTAGATAATTGAGGTGAGTAATGAAGTAGTAAAAAGATCGTTGTTGTTCCCTCCTTCAAAATCTTACGATCATCCAGAGAAGAACCAACTGAGTCAGCACTGTGGGTGGGAGAGTGTGAAATAAATATAACAGTGTGACTTAAATATTCTAATATGTTAATTTACAAAGTAATGTTTGAAATGATTAATGATGCAGTGTCTTAAAATTGCAGGTAACATCAAACTAAAATAAAGTAAAGGCAAAAGTAATGGAACAATTCTGCTTTTAATTTAGCTCATTGGTGTCGTATGAAACCAAAAAAGCTACTGTTGGATTTTTGGGCTGGAATTTAAAAGGAGTGGCGCCTCCTATAGGGGGATCGAGGGGTCTGAAAATTTGAACTCCGCCATTTTCTGATATTTTGACCTCAATTCAACTCACTACCACTAAAATATATAACCCTAACCCTACCCTTCCAAGGGATCATAACACTCTATGTGGGTTATCATTATTCTGTCTACCTGCAACTAGAACAACACAGCCCACCCACCTGGAGTTTGCCGCTTCCTTCAACAACTGTCAGGCATGAAAGTTATGTTACAGGAGCTGGTGCTGCTCCCAGAGCTTGAAAGGGTTGATAACATCGTGATTGGACAGCTGTAAAAAGTGCTGCATTGAGGACAGACGACATAAACCACCTGAGCAAAACAAACTCAATTTACTAGCCCAGCATGAACCACAGAGCTAAATATAGAAGTACGTGTCAGCCTTAGTTAGTCTGAAGAAATAGACGGAAGGTTTATTCTGCAGGTCAAACATGTGGGTTTTCTCTGGGCTCTCCCCAACATGCACGTATGTTCCAGCCTATAACTGTTGAGAGGTTTGATTTCAATCCACAAATTACAACCTTACTGTGGAGCTGGAGGAAAATCAGGGGGTCGCTGATGTCAGAGGTGAAGACTAACTAAAAATGGTCGACATGACAGCTCTCTGAAAGTGAAGGCCAGTCACTTGGATCGCCCCCTGGTGACTGACTGCAGTACAACTACTTACCGTTAGTGACATGGGCCAAACTAAAAATAAAGCAAAGGTCAACTTAGATAGTTTCTTTCAAAGATGGTTTTTGTCATTTGAGATAGTTCAGTCGCTGATGTATGTCCCAGGGTAATGTTCCTGATATATATATATATATATATAATACATTTAATAGCATCATATTTGCCACCTTACGTGATCAAAAATATATGGTAAATTGGACAAATACAATTGTAAGTCATTTCTGTGTAAAATTGAAAAAAGGCCCTCCAGTGCTGCATTGATTTTTTTGCATGTTAGTATTTCAGTCATTTCTCTGAGTCACCTTTTGGATGAGGGAGCATAATGTGGCTTCCAAAATTTCAAAGTAATTTTCAGGGCAAATTGATGCACCTGGCTTTTTTACACAAAGGAGAAACAACCTTAAGAGGATGTGACTCCCATCTGCCTCTTTGACGATAGAAAAAAAAAAGAAAAGAAACGGCCAAAATGAAACAACCATTGTTTTCTGGCTACAGCTCAGAGTATTTTCCTTCTATGAGAATTTCATTGAGGGCAAACACAGAGAGAATGGGCGTAAAGACTGTTGGAAGAATCTTACCTGTGAAAATTAAAACATTTGCTGATACTGCGTCAAGAACACGGTAGACGTTTGAAAAACAACTCAAGTGCAAAAACAACTTCACACATTTAATTGTTAACAGTTGTTTCTGTCACTGACAGTACACTGTGTTCTAGCGAAGGTTTTGGCTTTTAAGAAGAACAAGGTAATTAAAGCTGCAACCACGGGACGTGGACGGGCCATCACACCCCCGGTGCTTCTCGGGTTGCACGCTGGAATCAGCGGACACGGCACAGATTGTCTGTTGCAACCATCAGACAATCTACAGAATAAGTGAGATGTCCTTTCTGAAATAATCAAAAGCTTCAGTCCGTCACCTCAACAAGGTCCCAGGACTTGCTGCCAGCTGGTGGCGCTATAACCAAGAATGAAATTCAGGTCAGGACTTTTATCAAACACTAGAATAGAACTCAGTGGAGCACATTTCTTCACCAAGGCCCAACAGTCCTGTTTAATGTGCTGCACCAACTTTCACACACTTACAGATGCAGTCGTCTATTTTTTTCCCATCAATAGTTATGGGTTAATGGATTCTTCCAGCAGGTGCTATGACTGTTTCAAAATTGGCCTGTACATCTCTTCAAGACGGGACTATCATCACACACGAAAATGAAAAATGTTAACAGCGAACATGGCAGAGAACGGCCTTGCAGAGCGCAGCTGGAGACTCTTGTTTCTTGTTCTGTTGGGAGCGATGCTGGGCCAGGTTCATCTCAGCTCCTCACAGTATTAACACAATGTGAGCTCATACAGCAGCTGAGGGAGCCATGCAGAGGAAGTGCTGGTTTTGATCATTTGTAATAAAAAAGGTGAAGGGGATTTAGAGACAACCCCCTTGATGCTGCTGCCTGATGAATGAACTTCATTATCGCTTCATTACGACTTTACTTCCTCCAAAGTAACTTCTAATCATCGCTGTGCTTACTTTCATATGAGATTCATATTGGTCATAAAAACCATTAATAATTTCAGGATTTTTAATTCAATCAAACAATGTTATTACATTT